AATACCATTGACTGTATTTCTTATGCTGTTTATTTGGCCTCTCTTTCTCTTCACTGACTGAGACAAGCTGCTTCTTTGTTGTTTGGCACTTAACATTTGTCATCCTACCACTACAACAACCTGATTCTTAAAAAAAATATGGGTATATGTGGAATCCTTGCTCAGCTCTACATTCCATATATGTCATAGGCTTCAGATTCCCATTAGTCTGTCTAAGTCTCAAGAACTTCCCATTTCAAGTAAGATTTCATTAGTTATATTCTTTAGGTTTATACAACCTTCCCCTAAAGAACTCTGCTTATTTTCTCAAACGAGATAAACTTTTGTACCTCTTAAAATTTATTGAAACTACGTATGTAGTAGTTTATTTTATGTAGCTGATATTTTTCAGTTTTTAGTTTGGGAATACGGTAAATACTTAGTATTTTTTCCTTTTTCAAGTTTTTATTTAAATTCCAGTTAATATACAATGTAACATTGATTTCAGCTGTACAATTGAGTGATTCAATCACTTACATCTAACACCCAGTGCTCATCATCAGTGCCCTTCTTTTTTTTTTTTTTAAGATTTTATTTATTTATTTGACAGAGATACAAGTAGGCAGAGAGAGAGAGAGAAGAGGAAGCAGGGCCCCCGCTGAGCAGAAGAGCCCAACGTGGGGCTCCATCCCAGGACCCTGGGATCATGACCCGAGCTGAAGGCAGAGGCTTTAACCCACTGAGCCACCCAGGCACCCCCATCAGTGCCTTTCTTAACACCCATAACCCATCTATCCCATTCCCCCACCCACCTCCTTTCCAGCAACCCACAGTTTGTTCTCTATAGTTAAGAGTCTCATAAATAACTCAGTTTTAATGAAGACCAAAATTACTTCCTCTTTTCACACTTTGTTATTTAGTGGGCACTTTGTCATGGTGATATTTTAATGCCCCAAACGACATTGATGTGATCTTCAATCTTCTGTAGGAGAGAGGTAAAATGATTAAAATTTGATAACCTGCAAGGGGCAGGAAGTGTGTTGTGTGTGTGTGTGTGTGTGTGTGTGAGAGAGAGAGAGAGAGAGAGAGAGAGAGGAGAAATTTTAAGTAAAGTTTCTGTTATCTTGAAATTGATTTTCAAGGATGATGTTCATGTGAGTATTAGTGGAGTGCAGGTTAGAGTTTTGTGCTGGAGAGATTGATTCAAGGACCCTAAGTGTATGTAAAATAAGTGCAGGTAAGTAAGATCATGGAGGAAGAGGATCTAAGCTGAAAAGACAGAGGGATCGAGAATGGATTCATGGACAAGAGAAATGAGCCAGGAGAGCAGTCTACTGAGGAAGAAGGAAGCAGGGAGAGAATAGTGTCACAGAAGCCTCGTAGGGAGGCTTCACCAGGGCCAGATGTCACACAGAATTTAGTGTTAGGAAGACTGAAAAGGTTATTGGACTTGAAACTCTAGGATTTCCTATATTCTTAATGAAACAAATTATAATGAATAATGAAAGTGGAAGATTAATTATAGTGCGTGGAGAAGTGAATTTGAGTTGAAGAAGTAAAGATGAATGTAGATTACTTTTCAAAAATTGTTGGATATAAAGGGAAGTTATTTTGATAATTTGTTGCATAATATTCCCCTCTTCTCTTCCTTCCTCAGTTAATATATGTATATTTTAACATCATAACCCACTTATACAAGGGACAGGAACAACATAAACCTACTTGTGTAATTGTCTATGTTGTACATCAGCTTTTAGTTATAGAAGTGCTTGATTAGGCTGTATTCCTTTGCCTCTTGAAGGTTTATTTAATTGACATTTTTCAGGTTCCTTATGTTTATTCAGTGTTATTTTGAAGGAGAATTAACTTGGGTATTTTAGAAAACAAAATTAGTTGAAGGGAAACAAAGACACTATTTTTTTTTTTTAAAGATTATTTGTTTGAGAGAAAGAGAGCACTCAGGGAGAGGGGCAAAGGGAGAGTGAGAAACTTAAGCAGACTCCGTGCTGAGCATGGAGCCTGGTGTAGGGCTCAATCTCATGATCCTGAGATCAAGACCAGATCTGAAACTAAGAGTTAGATGCTTAACCAACTGTGCCACCCACATGCCTGAAACAAATGCAATATTAATCATCAAAGTAGGAATGTTTAATTCCCTATTATTACACAAATTTAGACTTACTTAAAAGCATTGAACTGGATCACTTATCCAAGTATATAGAAAGAATTAGTCATGCTTATAGTGTCTAATGGATCATTTATTTTCTCTGTGTTCCATACTTCAGTCCTATGTTAGATTTCACAACCTGCTTATTTGTAGAAGTACTGCTGTTCTTACCATAAAAAAAAATTATTGATAATGTTTCTGCTATTGCTGCTGAACTGTTTCTTTGTGCTCTGAATTTTGCATTAAGCAAAGTTATCACTGTATTAGTTACTAGAGTGTATCTTCCAAGTACTTTTGAAGAGGTCTCAGATTTCTGTTTTCCAGATAACCATACCCTGACAATTCCACATGGTCACTGTCACATTTTCTCTTTGGCTGTGCTGTTCATCTCTTTTGTTACCAGTAGCCACTCCAATGATCCTAATTTCCCAGTAAATAGTAGTTTTGCATTTATACTTATTCTTAGCTTTTAACCCCTTTTAAAGGAAAGTTTATTGGAGAAAAATAATTTAATTTTATTTTAACACTCACAAGACCCATTTTTAAAAATTTTTATAACCCCCACAAAAACATACATAATTGATTCTACTGCACAAATATAAAAATACATATCCACCTCTGGACAGACATTAACACATATAAACAAAAGATCACCTATGTATCACTCAGGTAAAACATTGGATTTTAGTTTCTTTATTTCAGTAATATACAGTGAGCACTGTATCTGTAAAGAAAATTGTTTTTTTAATTGTGCCATGAATTTCTTGTTCTTTGTCTCTAGTTTAGGATTTATTTTTTAACCATCCTCTTGTATCAGCTTCTAATCTTCTTTCAAACAAACTGTGGTCAAAATCTGTGATTTCGCATCATAGGGCTAAGCCCCCTCTGCTTCTGTCAAAAGCCCAGCTAAAATATATTCATGAGGGAAAACAAGATTGGAAAACAAATGTAAACTTAGTCCCTCTGAAACTCCTTAAGCTTTATCCTGGTATTAAATTTGATCACCAGAAAAGCTCAACTTCCAGTCTCTACAAAGTTATAATTTCATGTTGAAATCTATTGAATTTTTATTTTTAATGAAACTGCTTCAAAGACAAGATTCATTATGTTGTTCAACACCCTTTATGTAAAATCCCTTGTCACAAATACCTCCTAGAAATGAGAATCAGCAAAGAAATTTTTTGAATTGTAAGATGTCCTTCTAAGCTGTGCGTACTTAGTATACAAGCTGTTCTGGTTTTGAGTTTACTTGGCTGTGCCAATTTTAGGGCAAAGCCTTTACCATCAAGTGCTATAGCTTTTTACAGGCAAGTTGATGCCTCAATTTTTCTATTCTCTGCTCGCAATTCTTAGTCTTATAATATCCATCCTGTGATTTTTTTTTTGGTAAGGTAGTTTAACTGAAGGATGAAGATATTTACTTTTTAAAATCCCCCCTTTAAGCCAGAATTTCTCAGACCTTGAACTTTTTTTTGGAAATATCTATGGCAACCATCCCCTTTTCCTGTCCATACCAGACATCAGGGCTATTTCTGATCCTATTTTTAAACTGGGTTGGGACATTGGACTAAACTAATATTTCATAGAAATCTTTTCTTAATCCATCAATCTACAAATCTACTATAATTAGGATTTTATACAATATCCTATATTAGAAATATGAGTATACTTAAAAGTATTTTTGATAAAATGTAGCTATAACTTGGCTTAATTAAAAGAATTATTCCATATGTTGCTAAAATGCAATTAGGTAATTTTCTGATTCTTAAGCCTTAGCTAAGTAATATAGTAAGAAAATACCTAAATCGTGTAATTAGTATTTTCAAGTTTATTAAATGGTTATGATTTATGTGGGTAGCAACTAGTTTTCTGTTTAAATTTATTTTATTCCAATTTCATTTTTAAAAAGTATATGTTATTGGTTATTAATTTTAGATCACAGAAGGCTTAAAAAATATCAAATTTTGTAATTCAATAATTTGAAATTAAAATTGATAAGTTGGACATGTCAAATTCTACTGGGATGTGGTCAATCAGTACATTTTAAAAAGTTTAGAAGTACGTTAAGCTGCTGATTTTCTCAATACCTTTTCACTAAGGGAAGGAATAATGTGCATGTTGGTATTACTGCTTTCTGTTTTACAACATTTCTAACAGCATGCATTCTCTGGAGAAAGGGGAGGACCTGTGATGTGAGTGACCGTCATTGTAATGATGCTTATCGCATTCAGTACTCCATCTTCCTTTTCATCTCCTTTGAAGGATGTCAGTTCTTTCTGGCACTGAAGGAGAATTGCAATTATTTTGCTTCTTGGCTATGATCTTGGCTATCTTCTTGCTCTTAAGGGATATTGTGTGATTTGCTTACACATTAACTTCAGATGGAATTGCAAACTGAATCCAGAAATTGGAAGGTGCTTTGAAGAGGGGCTAGTGAAAAATGGGGGCCTGAATGGATGAAATAAAAACTTGTAGTATTCCAGAGAGAGAGAGAGACAGAGGCAGAGAGACAGGAACCTCAAGAACACTCTTCTTTGAATTGTCATGGTATTGTCAATTCACATTCTAAAGGTACAGGATGGGGATTCTGAAAGGCTTTCTTCCAGAGGAGGGACATTATAAACTCCAACAAACAAATGTCACACCACATTTGACATCAATGAAAAACATTACATTCTTTGTGTTATTTAATCACCTTATTCAATTCTGCTTGTATATCAAGGACTGATAATATTTCACTTCCATGGTAACTGAATTCTTTTACTATAATGAATGTTTGGAATTAAATTCTATTTATAATTTTGGTTAAAAGATTATAGAAAATTACTCTGATTTCTAATTGATTTTTTTTCAGGGTTGAAAATGTCTAAGTACATTGATTATGGCCAGTTGAATGCATTGTGCCACATAAGGGGACTGCAATCCAGGTAAGTTATTCATGTGTTTCTTTTTCTTTCATTCAAATGAATATGAACATGTCTGTTTTATGGATTAAAGTATAGTTTTATGGATTTAAAGTATAAAGTATAATAAACTATTGTTGACTCCATATGTACTTCATTTACCACATAGATAAAAAATATTTGAAAAACTGGAGGTTATTTCTCCAGGTTAAAGGGGCAGAATATGTGTTATATTTTGAGGAAACAATTGAGTGTGAAGCAATTCATGCCTAGGTTGGTCCTTTCTAAGACTTAAAATTTTAGTCATAAAGGGTGAAAGCTTTAAATGGTTGAAAACACAAATCCGGAATGAAATAAGTACTTTAGCTGTGCATGGGAGATACCTGGTTGAAAGATGGAGCCAAAGAATTAGGAAATACTAGGGCTCAAACTCCGGAATCCTAAGGTATGTGACACTTGAAGATATAATTTGAAAAAAATTATTATCTTGCCAACTATGTTTCCCAGGTTGTGTTTTTAAAATAATAAAGCTAGTTAGCTTCTTACGTATCAGTTAGTATCTATCCACTCTTCCACTTTCCCTTATTAAGAGAGGTCCTTGCTTCATCTTTAATGGGACTACTGAGAAAATGCTCCTATATATTCTGTTGTATTGTATTGTATTGTATTGTATTGTATTGTATTGTATTGTATTCTGTTCTATTCTATTCTTTATGATAAGTGCCCTTCTTAATCCCCATCAGCTATTTCCCCCAGGCCCCCATCCACTTCTCTGGTAACCATCAGTTTATTCTCTATAGTTAAGACTGTTTCTTGGATTCTCTCTCTCTCTAGTTTTCCCCTTTGCTCATTTGTTTTGTTTCTTAAATTCCACACATCTGTAAGATTAGATGGTATTTGTCTTTCTCTGACTGATTTATTTCACTTAGCATTATACTCTCTAGCTCTATCCACGGTATGGCAAATGGCAAGATTTCATTCTTTTTATGGCTGAACAATACTCCTCTGTGTGTGTGTGTGTGTGTGTGTGTGTGTGTGTGTGTACCATATCTTCTTCCATTTATCCATGACGGACATTTGCGGGGCTTCCATAGTTTGGCTATTGTAAACATGCTGCAATAAGCATAGGTGTGATGTATCCCTTTGAATTTGTGTTTTTGTATTTTTGGGGTAAATACCTATGGATCATAGATAGTACTATTTTTAACTTTTTGAGGAACCTCCATACTGTTTTCCACAGTGGCTTTACCAGTTTGCATTCCCACCAATAGTGTAGCAGTGTTCCTTTTTCTCTACATCCTTACCAACACTTGTTTCTGGTATTTTTTATATTCTTGTATTTCTGATTTCAAATTATTTCTATATCTTCACCAATCCTGTCATTTCTTCTTTTTTCAGAGAAAGGGAGGAGGATGTGCTTCTTTTTTTTGGGTTTCTCTTGAGAAAGATTCTTTTTCTTAGGCACTTACACCTTCTTCTCACTCTCAGTGTCTTTCTGCACAGACGAAGAATCAACAGGCACTCCCAAGTTATGCCACTTGGCTTCAAACTTGGTTCAGGCACTCGCAGAATGTGTGACCTTGGATTGGTTACTTAATTTCTCTTTACTTGTTTTCTTATTTTTAAAATGGAGATAATAATAGTATTATTTTACAGTTATTGGGATGACTAAATGAGCTAACATATGTAGAGTAAACAGGGTCTGGCACATAGTGAGAATTATGTAAGTGTTATTTTAAAATGATTATTGCTATTCAAAAAGGCTCATCCAAGTTTTTAGGTGTTGAATATATCTTATATGCTGGACCCTTTCCTAACACATAAGAAGCTAGTTCAGGTTTTGGAGCTGAATGCCTTTTGTCCTGTCATTTCCTTTTGCTTTTTTGCCCAGACATAAAAAACAAAAAACAAAAAAGCCAAACATGGGGCACCTGGGTGGCTCAGTCTTTAAGCATCTACCTTCTGCTCAGGTCATGATCTTGGGGTCCTGGGATTGAGTCCCGCATCTGGCTCTCTGCTCAGCGGGAAGCCTACTTCTCCCTCTCCCACTCCCCCTGCGTTGTGTTCCCTCTCTGGCTGGCTGTCTCTGTCAAATAAATAAATAGAATCTTTAAAAAGCAGACAAACAAATAAACAAAGCGTGTTTCTAGACCTCTCCCTCCACTCACCTTGGGTGATCATAGTAAGAGAGATTGAATCATCTAGATGTGGAACTGCCAAAGTATCCGTTCTACATAAATCTTATACCTTTCGTCTTCCTGGTTCGATTATCTCTTCTAAGTAGAGTTCTGTCACAGTCAGCTGCTCCAAGCCCAGTCTGGTTGTCCTGCTTAACTTCCTTCTATTAAAGTCTTATATTTACTGTGCCTTTCCTTAGACACCAAATCCTGTGAATTTCTTAGGTGTTTTGTTTTGACACTTTGGTATACACCAGGGATCTGGGAGAGGGCATGTTTTGGGTACCTGTATATATATATTTTGGGGGGGTTTAGGGTTTAGGTTTAGGTTTTAGGGCTTAAGTTTTAGAAAAAGAATATAAGATTACAAATGCAAATATAGATTTAAAAATGAATATCTTTTTAGAATAAGATAATAAATTACAACAAAATGATAGTTTGGCAATACAGGTCCTATTCCCACTAAGATTTCTTTATGCAGATTATCAGAAATATATACATTGAATTCTTCCAGAATTACAAAGCTTTCAGTTGATTTCAAAAAATTGGGAAGAGATTTAAGAAAAATGTATTCTTCCATATTTATTTATTTTTAATGTATTATATGTTAAAAATGACCAATGAAATATTCTTCTATAATTAAAAAAGAAAAGTTAAGAATTAAATGACTCAAGGATTGCATTTTTTTTTTCTTAAAGATTTTATTTATTTGACAGAGAGAGATCACAAGTAGGCAGAGAGGCAAGCAGAGAGAGAGAGAGAGAGAGAGAGGAGGAAGCAGGCTTGCAGGGAGCCTGATGCGGGGCTCGATCCCAGAACCCTGAGATCATGACCTGAGTGGAAGGCAGAGGCTTAACCCGCTGAGCCACCCAGGCGCCCTAAGGATTGACATTTTTGAACATGAAAACTACCGAGGGTTTGATTATATTTTATATATGTGTTTGTATATAAATCCTACCAAGGGTTTGATGATATATTATGTATTTATAATATATATATAATATTTACATATTATTTCCATATATATATTTTAACTATATATATAAAATCTTCTTTGTCGTTGTCCTTCCTTTGGCCCATGGTGGGAGGATAAAGGGGAGGCTGCTACTCTCTACCACTTTCTGTGTGCCTCTACCCTGTACTCAGTCCCAGCTGTTGAAGCTACTCCTGTCCCCTTCCTAGGTGTATGAGAACTCTTCTCACTGGATTTTATACCCTTGTGCCTGTGTTTTTGTACAAAAAGCAAGCCCCAGTGTGTGATGGCTGCGCCCAAATGCATGTAGTTAGTCAGTTGGTGTCTGTCTGATGTTTCTTCTCCTCTGAGAATAAAGGCAATATATTAGTATGTTATTCTGGAGTTTTTTATTACAAGTAAAAAGAAAAGGTGTGTAACAAAGAGGAATGATGTCACTTTGGATTTCTAAATTGTTGGATGTAAGACTTCTCATCTCTAGTAGACTACCTATTCCATGAGGGCAGAAGATTTGTTTATCTTACTGCTTCCTACCCCTAAACATTTGGCATAGAGTTCAATGTTTTTTTTTTTCTTTTAAAGATTTTATTTATTTATTTGACAGAGAGAGAGAGAGAGAGAGATCACAAGTAGGCAGAGCCCCAGGCAGAGAGAGAGGGGGAAGCAGGGTCCCTCTGAGCAGAGAGCCTGATGCAGGACTCGATCCCAAGACCCTGAGATCATGACCTGAGCTGAAGTCAGCAGCTTAACCCGTTGAGCCACACAGGTGCCCTGAGTTCAATGTTTTGAATTGAGTTACATTCTAATGTTGAGCGGAACTAAATATCTTCTTGGTGCTTTAAAAATGTATAAGGGTTTTCTACGTGTTGATTAGGAGGAAAGCTATGTATTTATAGTGTGATTATTTATTTATTTATTTACTTAAAAGATTTTATTTATTAGAGAGAGACACACAGAGAGAGAGAGAGAACGAGTGAGCACATGGGGAAGCTGCAGAGGGAGAGAAAGAAGCAGGGAGTCAGACGTGGACCTGGATGCCAGGACCTGGGATCATGATCTGAGCCTGTGGTACATGCCTAACTGACTGAGCCACACAGGTGCTCTTTTATTTATTTTGGTACTATTGTCTAGAGAACTAATCATTTTTAAACATTTTTTTAAAAGCACCTTCTGTTGGTTTGACATTTCATGCTTTGGAGATTTTTTCCTTTTAGTCAAAGTACTTGATGATCAGTCAGCTCTTACGTTTAGAGTTCAGTTTACTTAGGAATAAACAGAGTAATATGGTTTAAAAGGAAATGTATGTTCTTCCAAGTTTCAAATAAACAAACAAACATGAGGCTACATGTTTGCAAATGCATTTTCTTATGTGGCCTATTATTCTTGTAATTTCATGCAAAAACCTTTAAACATGTCTTAATTTGGAAATATAAAAGATAAAGATAAATTTGTACATTTGTGTGAGAGTGGTGCTTGTCAGTTAGCATTGTGACTGGGATATAGAGTTCAATACTTACTAGTGATTAATATTACTAATATGTAGACACTTATCCTCAAATACAGAGGACTATATATATATTGTGCTGACTATATATTTTTTATATTTACAGAGATTATAACTCATAAATGGGTTTTAGCCCAAAGTCCATTTTTAAGTTGACTATCTAGCATCATCTCCCCATTCACACAATATTATAGAGTCAGAAGATTGTAGAACAAGAAGTTAACTCAGAAATCATCTAGTGGAAACTCCTCAACTTACAGATGATTAATTTTGCCTAATTTTCCCAAACTGTATCTTTTATTTTCTACTTTTACATTAGAAAAGATGAAAATGATATCCTTAAAATTATAGTAATTAATTAAAATATTAA